AGTCCGCGAGACGCGCATGCGCGGGACGAGGGTAGACGCAGTCCCCGGAGGTCTGGGGTCTACGGTCGCCAGGAGGCGGCTGCTGCTGTCCCTGAGCTTTCCTGTTTTTCTTTCCAGCTAATGCACGTTCAAACTCGCCTGTAAGGGCCCTTTCTTCATAAAACCTTCGCTTAACGATTTAGCTTCTATTTTCTTTTAAATTTAATTTCAAGTATTGAATTATGCTTAGTTCCTCATTCACGGGTGCCATCCAGTTTAGCAACTAGGAGCGGCGGTGTGTATGTACCTTTTCAAGATCGAGTGGAAATGCCACTGGCCTGAGGCCACTTTGATCCTCAGCCTCTTGCTTGTCCCGGTTTTGGTTCAGGATGGCACTTGGGTGACTTTTGCTTCTTGCCTGTAGCCTGCTATTCCGTGTCCCTTCCATTCCCTGTCTTAAAGCCAGAATAGCTGAGTCTCAATAGTTCAGTCAAGTCGGTATCCAAGGACGAATCAATTCTGGGAAATACATAGAACATCCAGCTCCCCAGAGGGAAACTATTGAAAAAATGACAGGCGGCCCACATGTAAAACGATAAAGAGCTTTAACATATGTAGGGGCTTTTTCTTTGCTGGAAGGAAAGAATGGTTTCATTGCGGAAATTTTGTAAAGGTCGGCTTGCAGATTTAGGATTTTTTCCCTTCTTTTAGTTAGGGCAACCGAATTATAGTTTGTTAGAAGTGTCTCAAATGGAAGAAAAACTCATCAAATTACACTTTTTATTGAAATCAGTAAGTCACCTTTTAGATAATATTTGCTTCAGTTTGGCACACCAAGAAGGTTTCTTTGGAGCTATGGAAGGTGGAGAAGAAAATTGAATTCTTGTGTAATCAATGTTTAGAAAAATATTAAAGGATGGGTTTATGTTTCTATAGAATTAGCAACTGTAAATATTTAACTTCGGTAAAACTAATGTCAGTTTCTCAGGCATTTTTAATGGCTTTTATAAAACAGCCACAAAATTGGGTAAAACAAAGGCCATCTACTTTATTTAAAATAAGAGATGAGAACATACCTGTATTTTGAGAAGCCACGATTTACTGTTGGATAACATCATTTTTCAGAAAAGGACTTTCCTTTTAATAGAGTAAATATTTACATTTTCTTCATATATTGAGGGATTGTGTCTTCAGCATTGTTTTGATGCTGCCACAGTATTCAAAACTAATTATTAGCAGGAGAAGTTGACAGTAAATTTGTTTTTATAACCCATGGGACATTGAGAAGCTACCTGCTGAGAGGGGGGTTATTGCCATCTGGTGTACGAGGCCAAAGCATTATATTGATCCTATGATAAACCTCCTTTTCTGTGTCATCTATTTTCCCTTTACTACTATTGTACACCAGCCTTGAGGCTGCTGTTGGAGTTCAGGGACAAATAAGAGGTCATATGATGTAGGCCACTGCATAGTGATGAAATATCAATCCTGTGACTTGTTTCTAAGGCTCTGTCCTTGATAATAAAATACAGTGTGTTGTATAGTTATGAGTTTTCACTTCATAATATTAGTTATTTTTCATTATTTTTAGTTCACATGACTGAAAATTACTTTTTTACAGGTTTTCCTGTGTTCAGTCTTTACAAGTCATTTGCAATTAACAGATGATGATGAAAACAATGGAGAGGTTATGAACAAATCCTTTTTAAGGTAAGGAAGCCTATAGCTATGATCAAAGCCATAAAATGTGAAAGAACATTCATTTAATTACTTTTGTTTAAGGCACCTAAGTGCTAGGAAAACAAAGATGAATAATACTCAACTCTATCTCTTGAAGAACACAGTCTAAATATGAAATTATGAGCCAAGAGAGAAAAGATGGAAGGTAGACAGCTTGTGCCCAGGAAGCTCAGAGGGTGCCAGAACCTTGATTTGTGCACTTCAGTGAAGGTGTGACCTTTAGCAGAGCTTGATTTTTGTCAGTGCAGAGTTGACCAGTTTCTGAGGGACAGACTTGTGCCTGTCTAAACCAGCTATGTCAATGTATTAGTTTATAGGGAGATTGTATATTTACATTGACTGCAGTATTCTCGTTCAATATTCTAGATTAGAATAGAAATATAATACTATCCAAAAATATGAGCTACAGAAGTAATTTAAAAATTTCCAGTAGCCATATTAAGATAAGTAAAAAGAAACAAGTAAAATTAATTTCAATAATATATTTTATTTAACCAGTATATCCAAAATGTTTATAATTTCAACATGTAATCAATATAACATTATTACTGAGATATTTTCCATTTTCTTTTTCATACAAAGTCTTCAAAATCTGGGGTGGATTTTGCATTTACAGCACATGTCAATTCCGATTAGCTGCTCAACCAACTGAACCACACCAGCCGGGGCTAGGTCTTAGTATTTGTTGTATTTAGCATGTCTTTTCTCAGAGGTACTAGACTAATACTGCCAAAATTTTCTTTTGAGTCTATGTAAACCACTGTCTTCTATTAACATACTTTATTCAAACATGTTTAAATTAAAAAAAAATTTTTCATGGGGTTAATACTTTCTAATCAGGCTAATTTTATCCATGATGTGTTTTTAAAACAATGAAAAAAATATATGTAATTGATTGATTGATTGACTTTAGAGATAGAGAGAGGAAGGAGGGGAGAGAGAGACACACACATTGATTTGTTGTTCCACTTATTTATGCATTTACTGGTTGATTTTTGTATGTGCCCTGGCTGAGGATCGAACCTGCAACCTTGTTGTATCAGGATGACACTCTAACCAACTGAGCTACCTGGTCAGGGCCTAAAAAATGAATATAATTTTATTGTAAATGTATTTTAAGAATATAATTTATAACCATACTGCCAACAGTTGAAAAAATAGAGCAAATAAAAGTTGCCACAATACATTTGTTGCTTATTACAGTGCATGATTTTTCCAAATATATTTTTATTGATTTCAAAGAGAGAGGAAGGAAGAGGGAGAGATAGAAACATCAATGATGAGAGTCATTGATCGGCTGCCTCCTGCATAGCCCGTGCATGTGCCCTGACCTGGAATTGAACCACAATCTCCTGGATCCCAGGTCAACACTAAACCTCTGAGCCACTCCTGGCCCAGCTGCATGTTTTTATTTAGTTGGAATTATAGCTACAAATTCATATTCTGTTTATTTTCCCCTTCATGTAATAGCACATAAAAACAGCATTTTCCACCCTAGCCGCTTTGGATCAGTGGTTAGTGTTGGCTTGCAGACTGAAGGGTCCTGGGTACAATTCTGGCCCAGGGCACCTACCTCGGTTATAAGTAGGGATCATGCAGGAGCAACCAATCAATGTGTCTCTTTCACATCTCTCTCTCTCTCTCCCTTCCACTCTCTCTCAAAAATAATGGAAAAAATATCCTCAGATGAGGATTAAAAAAAAAAGGCTTTTTCCCACATTATTAGAATTTCAAATGAAATGGGATTTCAAAACAAATGGAATTTCAAAGAAAATAAATTTTCATCTGTGGACAAGGCATATTTTATCCAATATTTTTGTATATTTCTTTCTCCTTTTTTTTTTTTGGTATAAATAACACTTCAGTGAACAGCTTGACACTGTGATTACTTTTCCATGTTTTATGACAGTTCCTTAGAATAAATTCCCAGAAGTGGAATTTCTAGGTTAAAGCATATTAATATTTCTATGACTCTTAATTGCCAGATTGTTTTCCAAAAGGACTCTTAACAAGCTGTCATTGATGATGAGAGCAATAGTTTTACTTTACCTGTCTTTATAATGGTTATATCTTTCTTAAAACATTTACTTATTTAATAAGCTTATCCATTCATTTATTTGTTAAATATTTATTGAGCACTTATGCTTCAGGCAATGCTCTAAGCACTCAGGAACACAACAGTGAGTAAAACACAGATAAACATTCCTATCCTCATAGCTGATCCTGAGCAAAACAAACAAAGAAACTAGACAAATAAATAAAATGTATGTCCCAAGGAAAAAATGAAGCAGGAAGGGAATATAAAGTATCAATGGTATGAGCATTTTAGAGTAGCTAGTAAAGGTCTCATTGAATAGGAGACAAAATTTTAAAGAATACTTTAAATTTAAATCACAAACCTACAGAACACTTGGCAAGTATAGTAGCAAAAACGTTTTTTTCTCCTGAACCATTTGAGAATTAGTTACCCATGTAATATCTCACCTCCTCAAAATACTTTTAGTGTGTCTTTCCTAGAACCACAGACATTCTTCTGCATAACCAAAATGTTACCACCAAAAGAAGGGTATTCGCCCGGCCGGTCATGACTCAGCGGTTGAGCAGCCACCTAGAATCCAGGAGATCGAGGCTAGGACAGGGCACATGCCCGGTTGTGGGCTCGATCCCCAGTAGGGGGCATGCAGGAGGCAGCTGATCAATGACTCTCTTATCACTGATGTTTCTATCTGTCTCCCTCTCCCTTCCTCCCTCTGAAATCAAGAAAAAAGATATACTTTTAAAAAAGAAAGAAAATGAGACATAATTGTTCAAATGCTGAAATTCTGACTTAACAGGATATTAAAAGTTCTAAAAGATTAATTGAATGTTTTTGTATTAGTCTCCTATTGCTGCTATAACAAATTACCACAAGTTTAGTTACTTAAAACAATACAAATTAATTTTCTTACAGTTCTGGAGGTCAGAAGTCTGGAATGGGTCTTAGGCTCCTAAAATCAAGGTGTCTTCAGGGCTGTGTTCATTCTGGAGGCCTTAGTCGAGAACTCATTCCGTGCCTTTTTCAGCTTCTAGACACTGCCCACATTCCTGAAAGTATAGCCCCTTACGTTAGAACTAGCCGTTGCATTACTCTGACCTCTGCTTCTACCATCATATCTCCTGTAAGTTTCCTTCCTCCCCTTTCATTTTTAAGGACCCTTGTGATTGCATTGGGCCCAGCCAGATAATCCATGATAACCTTCCCCTCTCAAAATCCTTAATTTAATCACACCTGCAAAATCCCTTCTGCCGTGTAAGGTAACATTTTTCTCAGGGTCTGGGGATTAGGACATGGACTTCTGGGGAGGGGCGTGGTGATTATTCTGCCTACAGTTCCTTTAAATCAAAGCCTAAAGAAACATTTTCCTTCACTGAGGAGTTTAAAGTGCTGTGAAATTAGCAATGAATGCATAAACTTCTAGAATAATTTGCTTTTTAAAAAGTTTTTGTATGCTTTAAAATAATTGTATATTACAGAGTAACCTGGACTTTCCGTATAACTGTAAAAATTTATATCACTGGGTCACACACCTCTCCTCTCTGGACAGATTGATATCTTTCCAGATTTTGTGTTTTCCTTTCACTTTTTTCTTTGATCCATGTGATTGTAACTTTTCTATGTTATAGTTTTAAATATACGTTCAAATCATTTGAATGTCCTTTAAAAGATGAAAGTCTAAAACCCATTTGTGCCTTGCTTTATTATACGATTAGAGGACTTTATAACTGAATTTTAATTAGAGGGTATAGGATGGAACCAATATAAACAGAGTGAGTAAAGCAACAGACTCTAAGAGGAGCTCAGGGAGTGATCACAAACTGCTCTGTACAGCTAAAATTGATTTCTCTCCCAAGGCTCTGCTAGTAAGAGCTTGACGGTTGTAGAGCTATAATATTTTCAGTTTCACTAAGTAAAATATTAGTTCTAAATGAGTTAGTAAAAAGTGATATATTTTAAATCATATAAGTGAGTTAAAATTGTTTATTGATTCTTATTTCTTATTTTTTTCTTTAGTGAAATCAGTTAAATCAGTGAGAAATTTGATGAAAGGAAGAAGTTACATTCAGTGCCAGTCCAAACGACTTTAAAAATTTTTTAAATATCTAGTCCTCAGTGATTTGTAGGTTTTAAAATTTATAGAATCAAGATTTATAAGCATAGTGTGTTTACATGAGGAATAATCATTCATAGCAGATCTGAATAAACCCTCCTAATGTAACTTTCTAAAGTCCAGTTTTGAAACTTCATTTGACATTTTATAAAATTTCCATATTATGTTTACAATCAATACAGCTTTTTGGTTACCTGTGTTGTTCATACTGACCCTCTAAGTTGTGCTAGAATATAGTACAAACATTCATACTTCCCCCACCCTTTCCGTACCATATTACCTATATTTTGCTAGAAGGGCAAGCTTTGTTGCCTAAGCACTTTGAAAGGAAGTGAACAGATCTAATAAGTAAAACTGGAACAGAAAGTTAAAGGTGTAAAGAATTTCCCTTTAGCCAGGACTTTGGGGAAGGCAGGGAGCTGAAAGTCTTAATTTTCTATTTTTTTGTTTACATGCAGAAATGAAAATCTCCATTATCTCACTCAAAGGAATTAGTCTAGAGAAGAATTTTTGGCTTATCATTTTTAGGATGAATGTGATCTGGACAACCTTTAGGCTAATACAGTGATTTTCAACCAGGGTCAATTTTGCTCCCCAGGGTCCATTTAGCAATGTCTTGGATGCTGCTGAACACCCAACAATGCACAGGACAGCTCCCACGAAAAAGACTTACTGGTCCAAAATGTAAATAGTGTGAAACTGAAAAATCTTGGGTTAATAGAACTGTCATTTAATTTTTGACAGGCTTTCTGTGGCATGATGTCAGATAGTGTGTAAAATTTTTATTAAAAAAGTATAAGCACTAGAGGGCAGTCCCTGCCCAACAGATGAAACTGATGTTACTTGGGAGGTCTTAGAAGTTAAAAAGGAGTTTGTGTTTTAGGTAACCTGAAGCTAAGTGACTGTAGGAGACCATTAAGAAATTACTTAAGTAATTCTAGATCAAAAGACAGTTTTTATGATGACTATTTCTGAAGTCAGTCAAAGCCGAGCAAGCAGAGTTTTCTTCTTCTTTTTATAATGATGCCTTGTGAACTTTTGCCAGAGAAAGGGGAGAATTCACACCAGGTTTTCACACAGACAAACACTAATGTCATTGCCACTTACACTTCTATTTGCTCTGTGAAGCAGGTGATGGAAAGTCACTATTCCTAGGGCATGTGGATCATTGTAATGCAGTAGCAGCTGTGTCTGGAATAGAGGAACTTAGGGCAGACAGGCAAAGCTGACTGAACCATTAGACAAGTCAGAGTCTGACTCAGCTCTTTGATTTCCTGAAACAGATAATAACTAGTTTGTTGCACGAAGGTATTTACATGAGTTAGCTATGCAAGAATGCAAATGTTCTGTTTTCTTCTAAGGATCAGCCCAGTTTTTAAAAATGAAACAATTTTTTCTTTTCAGTAGGAGACATCCAGGCTCAAGTCTAAGTTTTTGGGTATTTTAATAGAAATTGAGCCCCATCCCCCAAAACAGGTTAAACCACTTGCTAAACTTACATTAACCCTACACAATCCTTTTTATTTATTATTAAATATTTAAGGTGCACAGCATGGTATAAAGTGAACATCCATGAACTTGCCATTCAGCTTAAAAAAAAATCCAGTTGAAACCCTTTGTGCACCCTTCTCCAGTTTGCTACATCTCTCCCTGCCTCCTGCACTGCCATCATGCCTGGGTAAATGAGTTTGATATCTAATATTCCTGTATATTTCTTCATATTTTTATTACATGTGTCAAATATATACAGCAATATATAATTTTTGTATATTTTAAACCTTTATGTCAATGGCATATAACTGTTCTATAATTTGTGTTTTCCCTTCAACATTATATTCATAAGATTTATCTATGTTGATACAAATAGCTCCAGTTATGCGAACATTTCTTTATTACCCTCCTATTACAGATACTTAGATTGTTTCCAATTATTTGATAGTACAAATCATGATGCTATGTAGGTTCTCATATAAAGCTGCTTTTGTGCATGTGTTAAGAGTTCTCTGGAGCAGGAATCAGCAAACTATGGCCTGGTTCATATGCTTTCCACCTGGTTTTGTATGAACTAAGAGCTAAGAATGGTTTTTACATTGTTGAATGGTTTTAAAAAATCAAAAGGAGACTAATATTTTGTGATGTGAAAATGACATAAAAATTAAAATTTTGGTGTCCATAAACAAAATTTTATTGAAACAGCCACGCTCATTTAAAAAATATATTATCTGTGGCTGTTTTCAGGTCTAGTGAGTAGTTGCAACAGAGATTGAATGGTTGCAAAGACTAAAGTATTTACTATCTTACCCTTTATCAAAAATGTTTGCTAATTCCTGTTTTAGTGTATACATGCAAGAATAGAATTGCTAGGTTGCACATACTCATTTTTTGCTATCTTATCAAATAAATCTAAATTTTAAAAAAGCACAAAACCCTATAACTTGTTGCATCACATCGTATTTTCTTAAACTTTTAAACAAATCTGAAAAGAATGCTTTGAATCTTACTCTTTCATTTGATTTAACTAATGAGCTTAAACACATCTTTGTTGTTGTAGCTTCTTTGCCCCTAACTTGGAGTGGGTACTAATTGGTGCAGTGGTGCATGGTACCAATTAAGTTTATCTTTCTTTTGAGAGGGTGCTGGGAATGGGGAAAGACTAGGAAAATAATGGGCTGGTATAATTTTTAAACTTACTTTTAAGGTCTCTTTTAAGTATCCAAGAATAAGTCATCTAAAAAAAACAACCCAAGCAGTTCAGACTGACATTATTGATCACTACTAGCTTTACTGCCCTTTACTGGAATGTAAACTCCATGAAGACAGCAATATTCATCTATACTTGTAGTAGATGTTCAAGGAATACTTGTTAGCTGAATAAACAAATATATAGAACACAATTCATCTGAATGAAAGCTTGAAATTTATTGAGTTATGGTACTTGGATATTTAGAATATGTCACTTAATACTAAATAATACTATATTCAAGTCTGTCTCTATTTTGCTTGTTAGTTCATTTTGTTCATTAGATTCTACCTATGAGTGAAATCCCATGGTGTCTTTCTCTGATTGGCTTATTTCACTTAGCATAATGCTCTCCAGGTCCATCCATGCTGTCACAAAGGGTAAGATTTCCTTCTTTTTTATGGCCAAGTAGTATTCCATTGTGTAAGTGTACCATGGCTTTTTTTTTTTTTAACTTTCTTATGCTATCAATGGGTGTGGGCTCAAGTGGTATAAACTACTTATATTAAGCAATTATTTTAAGAAAAATAAAGCTACAAAGATAAATTTTCTATAAAATGTATATAAAAAAATGATTTTGAATGCTTTTGTGAATATTTACTGCTTTGGATTATCAACTCCAACTGTTTTCCTAAAGTAGTGCCAATAGAATTGACTATATTTAAGAAGATTTTAAAAAATTACTTTATTGGGGTGAAATTCACATATGAAAAGATTTTACATGAAAGCTATACAATTTGATTTGGGAAGGATGGATGGGCTATGCACCCTTATTTTTTGTTCCCCCAAACCTGAAGAGTGCCTCACTATTAATTCCAGTGCTCAGGACTGACTTTTTTTTTTTTTTTTTTAAGAGAACATGTTAGTTATTTTATGAAATGTCCTGCCGTTGGGATTTGTCTGATGATTTTCCCGTGAGCACATATAGGTGATACACTTGGCACATGCCGCCNTTTTTTTTTTTTTTTAATTAGCATTGGTTTCTATGGGCTCTAGACTTTTCTCCAGTTGCCGAATGCAGAGACTTCTGGGCATTTTTTAATTTCTTCTTTCTTTACCATTTTAAAAGAGCCCCCTTACTTCCTCTGTTTGTCATTATGTGTACCAAAGTATAGAATAGAAGATGCAAAGCAATACAACTGTACAGGAAGTTTTTCTTTTTAAAGAATTTGATTGACAAATGGCACAGGGTTCACTGTTCTTGCCAACTGAGAGTTTAGCTTCCAGAAAGTGCTACTTTAAGGGGAACAAGCGAAGTAGTGTGCAGGGCCTGAAAGGCTTCATTGACACAACAGCCAGGAGGCTCTTGTACCACATTGTCTGGTATGCAATGCCCTTTGGAAACCAGCCCTCGAGATTTCTACACCCCCAATGTCCCCCAAAGCTTAAAAAATTAGTCCCCCCTCCCTTATACTTGGTTTTCTAAGTGAAATTCCTGAAAAGGTGTTTGTTTTTGTATATCTTTTGCCTTTGGGTGTTAGTGATTTACCTAATCATTTGGCTTACTTAGTGGGAACACTGGGAGTCTGGGCAGTAGGGCTGAGGCAGTGTCCTTGACAGATTAGTGGTCTAGCATTAGTGTTTGTTTTCTGAACTGGAATCTAAGTGCTGCAGCAAAAGGGAGTAGTGGGGTCGGGGATATAAGGCAAATTTGGAACTGATGATTTAAGTCATTACTGATAGTTTCTCCATTTTCTTGAAGGTTGATCTGGAGAGATTTCAGTTTTTGCTGAGGAATAACTTTCTAGTGGAGCAGGATATTGAAAGTTATTAGGTTTGCAGCAGTGAAGTTGTAGACTCACTTGTAGACTCTGAGAGAGCCCTTTAGGGAGGACACAGTCATCTGTGGCGTCTTGGTTTGGTATAGAAGGTCAGGGGCCCAGCAACCTCTTTATCAGTGGTTTTCATTTAAGTATTAATAGAGCTCTCAGTATGAGGCTGGCCTTGAGAGGGGATGTGAGGATGTGGCTTATGCTCCCAAAGTTGGAGGAGCTCAGAGTCATAGACCCATAGACTGTGGAAGATATGTAGAGGTCAGCAGTCTACCCTTATTCTGCCTGGAGCACTGAAGCCCAGAAAGGTGACTTGCTCAAGATTACACAGTTAGTGGCAGACTCTTGACTGCAGGCTAGATTTCTTTACTCCAAATTTGGTATTTTTCCATTTGGCTGTTGTCCAAAGTGCCTTGTAATTGTTAGAGAAAAATTCAAGACAATATATAATTAAGTGTAAGTTGAATAATCAGTCACCATTTCATGTGGGGAAAGTTCCATTGTTAACTGGAGTTATCTGGAACTGAGACAGAGTTTGAAGAACAGGTTAAGTGTGAACATTATAAAAGAACCAGAAAAATCTGGTCTCTGTTCTGTGTTGTTGGGGGAACATACATGAACAAATCCAGTCTTCAGTCCAAATGTGAAGCCTTTAAATGTGCCCTCTGTTGGACCATGAGCACCCAGGAAGTTCCCTTGGTGAATATCAAAATGAAAGCCAGGCAGGGAATGGGAGGTTGGGGGGTGCGAGAGGAAGTGGAGTCCAAGTGATTCACAGATTTCTGAGTAGGTGTTGAAAGGTCATCACACTTGAGGATGAATCTAGATTGCTAGAACTTTGAGTCTTTGACAGCAGGGTTCCTTGTGGAGGTCTATATGTAAAGAACTTGAGTCTCTCCCATGCCGCTTGGGTGCTAGGCGTTAGTTCTTGGCCTTAATATTTGTTCTCGTCTCACCCT